TCCTCCTAATGCTACTGATTCAACCCGGGCTGGGATTTTCCCAATTCCTATTGGTCTCTTTAGTCTGAACTGGGTATGTCATGTTTCCAATAGATGAAACTGGTAAAAGAACTTCAAGGCAAGAATTCTTCCTTAAAGAACATTTTATTAGGAAACAAAGTATCAGCACTTACATAGTTGAACCCAAAACTGAGATTCCCTCCCCCCCCCCAGATACAAAGTAACAAGTTGCAATTCCCACTCCACAAACGCTGTCATAAATCACATCCCCCAATTAACGCAAGACATGAGCTTTGCTCGCTGGCTCCTCAGCTCGCCAAAACCTTATCAGACCACGTTCTTGAGTTCCCACACTTCTACATTTTTATGGCTAGCTAAACCCTCAAGCATTTACCCCATCCCTCCTTCTACATCTGAATTCTAAAAGAATAGAAAAGGCACATTAGAAGCAAAAGTAAAATGGCTGCTGATTCTCAGTTCTCAGAGCAACGACATCCATTGTCACAGCGTTGACAGCCCCCTTCAAACTACTTGGCACTGTTTTCCATGGCCACTGTGACTTGGGTTGCAGAACAGAGCAGACACTTTGCTTCCAGATTTCTGGTTTGCGTCACGGTGGAACAGGATGCAGGAAGGCAGCGCTCTGCCTTCCGCGCCCAATTTTGCCCTGCTGGGGGCCCTAAAAAGGGCCTAAAGTTGCCCCGAAGAGGCGATGAAGAGGAGGGGTGCCTTGTTGATCACGGAGAGACAGCGGTCTTTCTGTTCGATCCAAGGAAAGCCCTTCAAACCAACAGGGCAAAGACTGGCTACATTCCTGTGGCCAGTCATTAGCTGCTGACAACCGACAAAGAAAAAAGCACTACTTAATACATCATAAACAGCATGTTTGGAATTGGGAGAGAATATTGATCCTTTCTTTACTATTTTACAACTGAATTTCCTGGGAAAAGCTCCCAAGAAGCTAAAAACCTCTGAATGTAAATGGAAGTGGTGTTTCAATTTTATGGGGGACAGAAACATACAATATTGAAGTGGAAGTAACATACAGGTACAGTTTCGACAAATTTGAGAACTGAGATAACTGTTAAAATGTTCTCTTTAAAAAAAAATATTGAGGTGAAATATAAGAAATCAATCCTTTGTTTTAAAAGTGGAAAATGGACTTTGAACGACATCTAGTGATGGATTTGTGTATAGCACTATATTTTGCTTTGCTGGTGATTCCTACCTTGGGAGAACAGCTGGTAATAAAGGAAAATATTTTGCCATACATATCATCCTTCTTCTTGGATTATAAATATCGACTGAGTTTGAACTGTTAACTTCAAGAGCTAGTGGGAGAGAAAGAAAAATTTGACCTTGGACTATGTCTGGCTGAGAGAGACTTTTGAGCTATTTTCAGAGAGGTTGAACATTTTGAACACTTCAAATACTGTGGATTACAACCTTGCGTGATTGACAATTTTTGGATACTTGAGACAAGGGATTACTATAAAATATTGTTTTCAGAACTAAACCTACACTTTGGAATCTATTGGATTATAAAAGATACATATAAAGACCAGAAAACTAATCTCCAGGAAAGATGCCTCAAGAAAAAACAAACACCTTTCAGAAAGAAATATATTCTATGCTACAACAAATTCACCAAACAATTGTTGAATGCAAAGAGGACATAAAAATAAATCATAATGAGGCTAAAAACAATTTAGATAATATAAACGAGCAAATCTCCAAATTAAACCTACAGCTAGAAAGTTCCCAGATAACAACTACAAAATATGAACAAAAAATCCAGAAATCAGAAGACGAAACAGATTTAGAGATGGAAGAGATAAAAGAAGGGAAATATAAACAACCATATACAAACAAAATACTGCAAGACTTAACTATAACAAAAAAAATGCAAAAGACCTTTTACCCCTTATCTCTGCAAAATATATCTGATGGCAAGGAAAAAGATTTTTAAAAAGGGAATGTTGAGTTGTTAAGGGAAATGTCACAACTTGGGAGACAGGAAACGAAAAGAGAAATGGAGGGAGAAAGGAACGGGGAGTTGTTGAAGAAATATAAATGGGTGGAATTCCCCCTCCCCAAATACCCTACCTAAATTGTCTTCCTCATGCCAAGCAATTTTTACAAAAATAGAAAGAAAATTCCTGGACGATCGGCCTGGCTTGGAAAGCAACTTGGCAAAGAAAGAAAGTGAGAGTTAGATTTAAAAAACAGAAGATTTGACCTTTTAGAGAGGACATTATATGTTTAAATACTTTGAATAAGATTAAAGGAACGGAAGACTTCTAGATATAATTATACTGTTATAGTGAAAGATGTGATTTAGAATTAAGATAGCATTTTTTCTCTTTTTTGAGATGGAAAATATGAAGATACGAGGAGGACTGATTTGAATAAAACTTTCAGCTGTACAATTGTAATTAATATTGAGAAAATCATAACTGATAAAGATATTTCAAATACTGATGGGAAATTAAATTAACAAGAACACAAAAAGCAGGATATTAATTAATGAATTAATATTATTGATTTATGAATTGATATTATTGTTATTTGTATGATATTAGTAAAATATGATGAAGATGCTTATATCTAACTCTGAATACAGTAACAGTACCAAAAATTGTAATGGAGTAATGAGGGGAAAATGGAAAAAATAGGGAGAAGAAAGGAGGATCAGAGAAAAAATATTGGATTGTGAACAGATTTATATTGAAGAAGTTAATGTTAAATATTTGTAGCCAGACAACATGTTGTTTACTAAGCACTAAATTTTGTAATTATTAAAATTAATAAATCTTTTACCAAAAAAAAGACACTTTGCTTCCAGATGAAAGGAGAGAAGCAGTCTTAAAAGATTCCTCTTAAAAGTAATGAGAAACCTCCATTATTCTCAGTTTACTTCTGAATAGGCATGCACAGGATGGGAAGGAAGGAATATTCCATGGGAAGGAATATTTGTCTACTTGTATTGAAATGTAGGTCATATTTTTACTTCTGATGCCCATCCTCCAAGGCCCTAAAAGAGATTTACTCCCAAATGCTTGGATGGTAGCTTTAAAAGATAAATGCTCTGAAGCGCCAACAAGTAGGTTGGCTTCAATCAGCAGTCATGCTTTTGTTGTTTTTTCCAATGTTACAAAAATGGCTATTTGGAGAGAGCAATTTGCAAACTGTTTCTCTTTTCTGCAGAGAGTCTGGTTCATTAAAATCAATGAGACAACTCAAATGAATTTGTAAGATCTGCTTACAACCAGAGCATAGTTTAACAGGGGGCCAAACCTATTGGTCGAGCCATCTGTCAACTTATCTACTTCCCAACCTACTTTACTGTAAGTTGAGTGACTGGTGGATGATTTTTCTGCCAGTTGATGACATTTAGTGGGAGAGCAAACAAAGTCGGGGAAATCTATCAATTGCTTCCCTTAAGTTCTTCCACATTAAAAGTATATGGACAACACCATGTTATGACCTTGTACCTGAGGGAGGATAAGGCTTAGCAAAGTAAGAGTAGTGCAGAATATTCCAGCATACTTTTCTTCTTGTCTCAAGACCTGGAAGAATCACACTAATACAGCCCTGAGAAAGAATCTACCTGTGGAGGCAGTTTTCAATAGAAAATAAGTAAGACGGTGATACTAAATATTGCAAGTGTATCTTTTTATAGGCTGTATTTTTAAGTGGCTGTTGGCCCAGGAATGTGATGAACATAGGACTTATTGAGTTAACTGTTACTGATTTTTCCAGAGATGTTAGTAGCATTTATACATTGTTTTATGTGCTGTTTTGGCAAATAATACAACTCATAGCATTTTCAAAACAACAGGGATAGTTTTTTTTTCAATCCAATGTTTGTCTCACACACGTAAATAGAGTTTTATCTGTCTCACATGCATGCACATTTTCTCACACACAAACATACATATATGCACAAATAACTAGTGTGCATAAATGTTCCCTTGGCAAATTACAATTCTTTTAAAAATCCAAAAGAAAACCGCCAAAGCAAGCAAAAGAATATTTATCTTTGCTATTATTTTTTTCCTTTAAAATAGAAAGATTAACTGTTCAGAATTAAAATTCAGTCTATTTTGTCATTAAATGAAATATTTGAAAAGAAGCAACACAAGCAAACAACTTAAGCTACTTCTGAGTTTAACTTAATATAAATGTCAATCCTGAGTCTTGAGTTCATATCTAGGACAAGTTTCATATATTAATTCCTGCAGGGTTTTTTAAACCTATTATAGAGCATCTGTTATCAAACAGCTTGGAAATGGAGCAGCCTGGATCCTTCAAAGTTTTTGGGTGGCAAATGTAAAAGGAGCTCCAGGAGGCCACACCTTAGCTGATAGCACGGGGCAAAGTATATGTAGCTTGCAAGTTATGGATTGCTTAGCCATGTTGTATATGTACACAGATTTTTGGTACATTGACAGAATAATTAAATAGCTCTTGCTCACTTTCTTTTTTTATAAATAATATTTTTATTAAATTTCAACATCAAACATTAAAATAAAAACCAACAAATAAGGAAACGGGAAAGGGAATAGTGACAAAAAAATACATCAAACAAATTTACCACAAAAATGATCTCCAACTTTCTTTTAGTACAGAGATAATAACTCACTTCCATTAAAGCACCAATACAAAGTTTGCTAAGATAATGGATAAAGCAGATATGGATATTCAAAGGACTGTATAGCTGAAGAATGAATGAGTGTTTGTAAGCTACAAATGGTAGAAATATATTACATGACTCAGAAGTCAGTCTGATTAAAACCCAGTATATGTCAACACTTTATATATAAGTCTATAAAGAGGGTGGAGGGGCAGGCCACAGGAATATTATAGTTTCAATTATGTCTCCAAAAGTGCCTCGGAAAGGAACTGAAATAAGCAGTCTACTATACTGTATAGGTTTCTTATTTTAACATTGTCACATTTTATAATGAACGGTGAGCCATTTGTAAATATTTACACATCTCAATCCAGCATAATTTGGGTTTTTTTAAGTAAACAAATGTGCCGCGAAATAGATAACTCCAAATCAGGTTGCAAGATGATGTTTGGAAAAACATTAATAACAAATGTGGTCCCCATGACTACTGGTCTCTTCTGTCAGCTGCCCTCCTCCTTGACTTTCCCCTCCTCTTAGACTCCAGAGCTTGCTTCAGTGCTCAGTTTCTCCTCAGTGGGGCATTTCAATTTTCACTAGAAAGTCTCAATCGATTCAATTTGTGGAGAACTGAGAAAACCTCACCTCTGGCATCTTGTGAGGTATTTATTACCACTGATCTCTTTTAGCCCCCGCTATATTATTGTTGGCATTTAGTATGAAAAGAAAGAAAAAAAGAAAAAACCAGGCAAAGCAGCAGAGACATTCTGTTTGAACTTCCTCGGAGGTAAGATATGAGGAGGGTTTGTTTTTTTTTGCTTTTCTCTGTATCTTATTTTCTGGGCAATGATCGAAATTCAATCTTGCTGTGGTCTTTCCTTTGCCCGGAAATCCTTATGGAATTGTTCTTGCCGAAGATTACAGGTGAAAGAAGGAGATGGAAATTTTTTTAATGACAGAAATGTTAATTATTGTTTCTAGTTTGTTAGACATGCATTGAAAAGCATTACATATTCTGAAATGATTAAAATTTAACAACTTCTCATTGCTTCATTTGAAAATTATTGATTCTTTGGGAGGATGGTATTATTAATTTTTAGCTGTTTGAATGAAAGTCATATGGTATATTAATACCTGCATAACAGTACAGGATAATATATTATCTGGGTTGAGATGTAGTCAGTATTGTTCTATATGCAAATAGGAATTTTATTAATATCTAACTTACCAGCAACTTGTTCTATATTCTTAATCAGTTTAACATTGAGCAAAAAAATCTATAATTTATGCCATCATCCTTATTCTAAAAAAGAAATAAAGAAATTGATTCTTCTAATTAATTTTGGGGAACATATTTCAAAAGTATGGTAGTGTTTGTTGCATATTAGAATTCATAAGTATTAGAAAAACATGGTTCAGAGGAATGAGGAAGGAGTTGGTGCCCCTCGCATTTGATGTAAGAAGTTATAGAAAAGCTTCTCTCTTTCTCATGTTCTTCAATGGCTTAACTTTTCTTTTTTTTTTTTTTACCTCAAGCTGCTACTGAATAAGATGGCTCTAAGATGTCACACATAACCGATCGCTAATTTATAGTGGAATCTCAGATCCTCAGCATTACTTCTAAAGTAAGTAATTTCAAGACTGTAATTGATGATGACAACTCCTAGGCAATCATTTTCTTTTTCAAAGTTTATTATAAATAATAAGTTAGGAACATATACATATACACAGACCCACATGGAGATAGATAGATAGATAGATAGATAGATAGATAGATAGATAGATAGATAGATAGATAGATAGATAGATAGATAGATAGATAGATAGATAGACTCTGTGTGTGTGTGTGTGTGTGTGTGTGTGCGCGTATAATAAGAAAATGGAATAAAAAGACAGTGCTCGAATGGAATAATGATAAAAAATAAACAAGAAAATAGAGCAAAGCATTTGCTATAAATTAATGCAAGCAACGTGCAAAACTTTTGACTACATGAATTCTAATACTAATAAAATAACAAATTGAAACTAATTTATAATTGAACCAATGCTCTCATTTTCATTCTGTTTTATCTGCTGATCGTACGGCAGCCTTCCTTCCCCCAAAGTCATTATTTAATCACTGTTATGAATTAATTTATATGCCATAAATTTGAATGTGTTTGCTGGCATTCAGGCTAGCAAAAAACAGTATGCACAAAGCAGAAGAAAGCCTGAGGTTTAATATTTAGTTTGCAAATACAATAGCTACACCTCTATGTATATATGAAGGGCATAAGATTGGTGATATCAACTCTACTCTGCCCTTTGACCTGTCCTGATTCCATCCAATGCTTATCTTGAAGATTATGGAATAGCTTTTATTCTACTAGAAAGGACTGTTGTCCAAGAATTAAATTATTATGCTCCTTTGTATTGTACATACACAGAAAGTCCTTTCTCAGATAGAAAAGGATAGAGCTATTATATCTGGTTTGCAAAAACCTGGATGATCATTACATAAACTGAAAACTCTAACTTCTTGCATCCGGTAGTATCTGGATATTTACAGCCCAAGTAAGAGATTGATATAAACTGTGGGAAATATTTTTAATATGACATTAAGAAAGACAAAAATACAATAGTTTCTGCAGCATCAGTCACAAACGAACATGCAGAGATGTAGACTGATGAAGCCAGATGCCAAAGGGCTAACTTCTTCCTTGCCTGCGGTTTCTCTCCTGTATTGCCATCCATATTGGAGAAGTTGGAGAAAGGCTTATGCACCCCATTCTATATTAATTCTTCCTCAAAAAAAAATTATCTTAAGGAAAAAAACTGGACTTCTATTACAAGCTTACATGTGTAATTTCTGGTTCTTTGGAAATAAAAGGAGAATTGAGCAGTACCCAACATATTTTTCCCTTCCATTTAGCCTTGAATAGGTAAGCTTTGACATGGTAATCATACGATCTAAAAAGTAGTGCAGTTTTACTATACTATGGAGACATGTCTCCAGAACCATTTGCAGGTGGACAGCCTCTAGATTCTATAAATAAAATAAATGTGCTTGATTCATAAGGCTAGATGATGATGATGATGATGATGATGATGATGATGATGATGATGATGATAATAGTAATAGTAATAGTAATAGTAATAGAAATTGGAAGGGACCTTGGAGGTCATCTAATTCAATCCCTTGATCAGGCAGGAAACCCTGTACCAATACATGCATGTTCAGCATTCATTGGCTGTGCTGATTATTTGTACTAATCACCTGCATGCTGAGCCATCAAAAATGAATCACTTCAAGCTGCATCTTCATATTATTTGGGATCAGTTGGTATATTGCCTCTGTACCAGCTTCCCTGCTCAATTAGCAACCTCCCTGCCTAAGTTCCTCGATTCATTGTGAGATTGGCAGAGGAGCTCCCCAAGCTTTTGATCCTGGGGTTCTTCAATCTGCCTTCCCTGGGAGTGGTTTGAGGTAGTTGAGAAGTTCATAGCCATCATTCAGGATTCGACATGGGGCAGTGGTCATACCTTGATTTGATTTTCTTGTTGGAGCAATGGCAACACCATCTGACTATAAGGTTCTCTGGTGCTGGCCTCTTGCAAAGGGAGGCAAAGCCTATTAGATTGGCCTGCCCCATTGACTGGTGGACCCTGATGGCTTCTAGAGCAGGGGTGTCAAACTGCCAGCCTGCGGGCTGGATGCATCATAGCGAAACCGCGCCCACCCCATTGCCAGCAATGGCAAAAAAATCGTGATACATCGCAACACATCATGTGACATTGCAACTTTGACACCCCTGTTCAAGAGGAAGCTGCAGGTTATTCCTGATGGTCTCTCTGCATGATCTGACCAAAGTCTCATCTGCTATTTGGAATAAGAGAGCGAGTGAGGTCTTAGTTCAAATTGCACCCATGGGACCTCTCTCCTCTCATGGATCCCACCACTCCCTGTAGCTGACAGAGAAACTGAAAGAGATTAAATGAGAAAATAGATGTCTAGACCACTGCTGGAGGAAAACAAGGAATGAACTTGGCCAAACATGGATAAGAGCCACTATTAAGACTATTATGGCAGTAAGGATAGAAGCAGTTCTCTGCCCTTACAACATCCACAGATAGCCAACCATTGGCCTTGTTTAAGGTGACCTTACTCCATCTATGGAATGGGTACATGGAGGCCTATGTGCAAAACTGTGCAGTGGAATTTGCAGAAAATCTATCAGATGAAATTACTTGCATTCATTCCAAGTTAGATACCAACTTTGATACTGATCCGGGGTAGATGATCTACCAGCATAGTCTTGTCCAGTTATCTGTGACCAGTTTTGATCTTTGCACCTGAGGAAGTAGACAGGCTCCTTATGACTGTGAGATCTACCTGCTGCTTAGAAACATGCATCTCCTGGCTAGGTAAAGCTATCCAGGGAGTAGTGCGTCTGTATTTGGTTGGATTCAAGAAATAGTTAATTCTTTTTTTGGGGGGAGGAGGTGTTCCCCACCCACTTAAGGAGGTATTGATTCACCTGCTCCTCAAGCCCTCACTAGATCTCACCATATGGACAATTTTCATTTCAAGGCAGCTTCAGTGGGCCTTGTATGAAGCAGATTATCTGATTTCTTTCAGATGGGATTCTGTCTCTGGCAAAGTAAGATGTGATTGACATCTTGTCCTAGACTAGAGACTATAAGGGTTTAGAGAGGGAACACAGGCTTCAGGTGAACCCTGGCCCGACTGATTATATCTGGGGTTTTGGGGCCTTCTGGTTCCAAACAGTAGTGGCATAAATAGAGAAACATTAGTAACATGAATAGGATTAAAATGTTTGGCCTTTTCATTGAATTGAATTGTTTCTTTAATGAATTTTGATTTCTATTGAATTTAAACCAGTCTGGCAATTTTATTGCCAAAGAAAAGTACAGAAATACCATTTAAAAGTATCTCAATAAAAATCAATTATCGCAATAAAGGAGCTGGGTTATTTCACTGAAAACATGTTCTGTAGAGAAGTTAATATGCCTACCTCAGGCTATGCAAATATATGCACAATAAAATAAAATAAAAAGGAAGCAAAAATAAAAAGAGACTCAGAGTGAAGGTTTAGGTAGAAGATTTATAGTTCATTGGAGAGGAAGAGAGAAAGCAAGACAGAGAATAATATCAAGAGACTGAATTCTCTCCTGGAGTATCTGATGAGTTGATTCATCCATCTGGAGGGCAGCTGATGAACTGTTAGGTCACCCCAAGTACCAGGTTTGCAGGTAAGAAGCTTCTGGGTACATCTGGGAATTGGAAATAATATTTAAAAAACAAATGAGTGAAAAAGCAAACTCTATTTGGTTATAGCTTTGTTATAGTGGGGGACAGGGAGAGGAATTATAGGGTTGCTGAAAGCATAGGGCTATGAGCCTGCAATGTTTTGTATTATAGGATTTCCCCTTCACCTTTTTCTATCTATGTATGTTGAAATGTCATAAATTATACTGTAGTGTCAACTTTATGTTTTCAATTCTCCCTAAGAAAAACATTTTGTGACACTTAAGTTAATACTGATAATGCGAAATGCAGTCCATGAATAATTATCCAACAAAGAAGAGAATGGTCATTTTAATTTGTATTTCCTTTTAATTTTTAGTTTGTTTGTTCCTTCAGCCAAGCTTTAATTTTTAATAATACGATACTTACTGAAAGTGGCAAGACTAATTCTGACTCATGTAAATTTATGAAGTCTGTTTTCCATCGATGTGTCTTACAGCAAGGGTCCCCAATCCCCAGGCTGAGGCCCACTACTGCACAGTTCAACTCACAGGAGTCGAGCTGTGTGTGTATGCACACATACTAGCCTGTATTTTGTGCAAGTCAAGCTGCATGCACGTGTGCACCAGCCTACCACTCGCACAAGTAGAGCTGCACGCCCATAGCCGCCCCTCATAAGACCCAGTTCCTTTCCCCCCAGCTGGGCCACCAAACCACAAAGGTTGGGGACCACACATACACACACACACACACACACACACAGAGAGACGCCAATCATACATTTTTCAAGTAAGAAGTGTTATACAAAGCATAAGTGTGAATTCATAAACCAAAGAAATTAATATGGTTACTTTTGTATTCAACCCATTTTCATTCACCAGCCTTTCACTCTTGAATTTTTTTCTTTTTTTATCATACAAACTTCTTAAATAATCCATTTACACTGCATTCCCACTTCCATATAAAAAATGGGCAGAAGCATGCTCTTATACATAACATTTTCGTGTCTTTCAACTAAGATTCATTCATTGCAGCAGACCACATATTCCTCACCACCCTTTAAGGTATTTGCATTCCTTAACATTTCACAAATTTTGCAACTTTATTAAACATTCTACCAAGATTCACAAATTCATGTATTTGATCTTTGATCTCCATCTTTCTTCTATAATTTTCTTATCAAACACAACTACTGTGGTCTTGTAATATATCATTTCTTTAATCCATTCTCCTCTTTCCATCATACAATCTGCCTAACATTCACTGGAAACCATTCAGATTCTAATATTGTTACAAACAATCCTTGTACATTTGTCCATAATACATTACTCAACCAAGATGATATCTATACATCCTTGTCTTACTTCCTATTCAGTGTTGAATTATTCACTAAGCATTCCATTTATTGTCATGTAAGGTTTACCTCCTTCATACACTGCTGTTATCACAGTTAACAAACAACTTTTAACTACATATCATGCAACCCATTCCATAGTTCAGACCCATTCACTTTATCATACAATTCTCTAGATCAATTAACTTTCATTAAATGTTCTTTTTTATATCCATACATTTTCAGTAACTTGCTGAAGGGTAAAAATCTAAATTGTACAATCCAGAATAAAACCACATTACACTTCCCAAATTTTGCTCTCTTGTACTTCTTTCCTAGATGCATTTTAAAAACCAACCACTTTTTTTAAGCGAAGAGTAATGGCATTCTAATCATACAAACTGACAGTGTAAAAAATTTGTTAAAGTTAGACTACACATTCAGAACAAATGTTTTCTAATCTAGAATTTGATTCATTCTCCTAATTACGACACCCTTTGTAAGACGGCATCATAAAGCAACTGATATATGTGAACTTTCAAACAAAGGTCAGATGTGAATCATGAACAATCTAAGACAGTGTTTCTCAACCTTGGTAACTTGAAGATGTGTGGACTTCAATTCCCAGAATTCCCCAGCCAGCAACTGCTGGGAGTTGAAATCCACACTAGTTGCCAAGGTTGAGAAATATTATGGTAGTCTAAGACATTTGGCTACTTGAAGGAGAGATCTCATGTTCTTCCCTTGGTTCCTTTCTAGAGCCAGCACTTCAAAATGTTTTACTACAATTATTTGTCATATTTCTATCCTGCCATTTTTCTATCCTCAAGAAGAAGAGAATCCCCACTCTAATAATAATAATAAAGTTGGAAGGGATCTTGGAGGTCATCTAGTCCATCCCCTGCTCAGGCAGGAAACCCTATACCATTTCAGACAAATGGCTGTCCAGTTTCTTCTTAAAAACTTCCAGTGTTGGAGCATTCACCGCTTCTGGAGGCAGGTTGTTCCACTGGTTAATTGTTCTAACTGTCAGGAAGTTTCTCCTTAGTTCTAGGTTGCTTCTCTCCTTGATTAGTTTCTACCCGTTGCTTCTTGTCCTGCCTTCAGGCGCCTTGGAAAATAGCTTGACTCCCTCTTCTTTGTGGCAGCCCCTGAGATATTGGAACACTGCTATCATGTCCCTCCTGGTCCTTCTCTTCATTAAACTAGACATACCCAATTCCAGCAGCCGTTCCTTATATGCTTTAGCCTCCAATCCCCTAATCATCTTTGTTGCTCTTCTTTGTATTCTTTCTAGAGTCTCAATATCTTTTTTACATCGTGGTGACCAAAACTTAGACAACTACTCACCTGAAGGCTTCTGGTTAAATTACAACTAGGGGACCAAATGTTTATCTTTTAAAAAAAATAGCAGCTTTGGTGAAGTGACTTGTCAGACTGGCATAAAGGAAAGATCAACCCTTCTTCTCCTGTGTCATAGTTTTATTCTAGAATGCAGCCAGATTTAAAAAAAAAAAAAAATGCCCAAATGCAATCAAAAGTTTAGCATAATGCCTATTTTTAACCTTGGAGACAACTTACTTGTAGGGAAGGTTTTGAAATAGTTTCAGCTGCGCACTCACAGTGATACAAGCATCAAATCTAAGCTTGTTCAAATTCCCAAGCAGTCTGTCTGCTGGAGAAGCCAACAGTGGAGTCAGCATGCATTATGAAATTTCCATAATAGAAATGTTTAACAAATATTCTGTGTTTGAATAATAGTTCTATTAGCCTCCAATTTCCTTGCATTTAATTTCAAGAGATGATTCTGAGTTCCAATGTTGTGGGAGTGGGAGAAAATTTTTCTGTCCAGATATCTCTGTCATGATATACCTCTATCATCTCTCCCCTTAGATGTCTTTGATCCACATGTTCAGCGCTAGTTGCTGAACTATTTCATCTTAAGGGAGATACGCTATCTTTCTAATCATATTGTTTGCCCTTGGTTTGCATTGCATTGCATTTTTTTTCAGCTTTCTAATAGCCTTTTAATGACCAGCTCTTAGGAGAAGAAGGTATCTCTAGCAACTAGTTAAAGAATACACATGGGAATACATGGACAGTTAGGTGAGATATGTAAAGTTGTCTCCCTTAGAGAAGTGCAAACTGGTTGTAAAATCTCTCAGTTCCTTCTGTTAGATGCTTGAATTCTCAAGTGTAGCTCCTTATCCAAAACTCTGCTTCCAGAGCACTTCAGCCATTACATTTTATTTTCTGCTCATCATTCCACTACCTTTTCTAGATGTTATATCTAGAGATTACTATATCCCACTGGTTATTTCCATTCTATATTACAGTTTCTTAACGCTTGTCTGTATCAATGTTTTCTTCCAATGCAGAAAGTGAGAAAGTATAATTTTACACTTTGTTTTGAAAAAAGAATCTAGAATCAAATAATTTTACAAGATGAGGAAAAGAGAGGATAGAAAGCGTATCTTAAACAATGGCTTATACTTTCCTAAATACATAGATATTAACATGAGCCATGATTTTAAACAAAACAAAATATATAAATAAGATAATAACTATAGGATCTGCCCAACGGTAACTAGAAACACAGAGCCAATTTTTGGTACAGTATTGGACTTTACACATATGGTTCCTTTTGCTATGCAAAAATAGCAGGCAGAGCCCAACAGGATTCGTGTAGTGCCGAACTGGAGGAGGCACCTTGCATTGGATAAGGAGGAGGGATTGGGGAGTGTGTTAATGATAACAGTGCAGGGAGGGGGAGACAGCACAAGGATGACAAAGCAGGAAAATACAATGTTAGAGTGCAAAAAAGAGAGGGCGGAACAGGCAAGGCAGTCACAGGCAATCAGGAAGAGTGGCCCTGTCACGAGGGCAATGAGTAGGCAATTGGATCAGCAAGGGGATAAAAAGTACTTCCCACCTCCTAAGCCCCACTCTGAGGACGCTGGCAGAGGACCAGTGAAAGCTAAGTTGTTTTAATTCTTGTATATAACTGTTTTTATTGTTTTAAATGTTGTTTTAACAATAAATAACTGGAGTATACTCTTCCCGGAGATTGAAGATTGCATCATTGAATATATATATATAAGACTCCCCCCCCCCCCCGGCGCTTGCCTTTTAACCCTGACGATGTCAAGTGTATTTGACGAAAGCTCGGTGGATTAAATTCTATTTTTGATAGATATTCTCTTGGTGATCATTATTATTTGGACAATATATATGTATGTGTGTGTGTGTGTGTGTGTGTGTGTGTGTGTGTGTGTGTTTTCTGAGGTTTTCGCGGGTGTTTGTATGTAGGTCTTTGGTTGTTCGGGTTTTCTCCTGCGTAAAATTGGAAGTGTCTTGGCGACGTTTCGACGAAGTCCCATTCGTCATCTTCAGGCTGGTGTTTTCAGCTTCGTGCTTCGAGCAGCAATGTGTGATCTTAGCTGTTTCTTCCTTTTAACTGCCAGTGGGGGTATGAACTGATTGGGTGGGAGCTTGGCTGTGTTCTGATTGGGTGGAGGTGTGTTCTGATTGGTTAGGGGCTTGGCTGTGCTCTGATTGGCTGGGGGGTTGGCTGTGCTCTGATTGGCTGGGGGGCTGGCTATGCTCTGATTGGCTGGGGAAGTGTTCTGTTTGGTTGTGCTCAGGTTAGTCTGAGTTGCAGAGGGGTTTAAGATTTTGGGCTGCCTTGCACGACCACGAACGCGAAGCCAAAAAATAGCAAGGCTTCTCAGCAGGCCGTGATGGTGTTTTTCCCATCTCCTAAGAGTCTGGTAGGCCAACATATAGATCTTATATTGGACGACTGATTAGTTGCATCACATTTCTGTCTCAGTAGGTGCTTTTTGTTTCCTTGTTTTAAGCCGAATTGGGTTCAGGCCGTTTAAAAAATATTAAACATCTGAATTTAAAATCTCTTAGTCATTTATACTGAAGAGGGGAGGGCTCCTAAAACTATAAAGATAAAATAAGGATGGATTCGCTCTTAATTATGTTGTGATTTCATAGGTACTTCAGGATGGATAAAACCACTCCAGTACCCAACGTGTATCCGTCTGTGGCAAACAGCAGTAAGTCACAGTTGGTGCAGTTTGAATCGTGCCAGCCATCTCTCCTTGCGTTCTTCTTGCTCATCATCGCCTATGCTGTGGTCATGCTGGTCGGACTCCTGGGCAACCTTTGCCTAATTGTCATCATCAAGAAACAAAAACAAGGTCAAAATGTGACTAACGTCTTGATTGCCAACCTCTCCACATCTGACATTATCATCTGCGTCATGTGCATTCCTTTTACTATGGCATATACATGGATGGATTACTGGGTTTTTGGTGAGGCTATGTGTAAAATAACTGCTTTTGCGCAAAGTATGTCTGTCTCCGTTTCTACATTTTCACTTGTGTTAATTGCAATTGAGAGGCATCAGTTAATAGTGAACCCCCGGGGTTGGAAGCCCAATGTTTCACATGCCTTCTGGGGAATTGTCTTCATTTGGGCATTTTCTCTAATAATATCCACCCCTTTCCTGATATTCTATCAAGTTTCTGATGACCCCCTAAGAAATCTCTCTTCCCACAGTGAGAGCTATGTCAGCAAAATGGTCTGCATTGAGGTGTGGCCGTCCATTGAAGGGCAGCTGGGCTTCACCACCACCATGTTAGTTTTCCAGTACTTCCTTCCTCTAGGGTTCATTTTCATTTGTTACCTAAAAATATTTGTGTGCCTGCAGAAGCGGTATAGTAAAGCGGATAAGGTAAGGGAGTATGGGAGCAGGCTAAATGAAAATAGAAGGATTAATGTTATCTTAATTTCAATTGTTGTGACCTTTGGCGCCTGCTGGTTACCTCTGCACATATTTAACATTGTGTTTGACTGGAATTATGAAACCTTGATGCATTGCCACCACAACGTGGTCTTTACCTTGTGCCACTTGATAGCCATGATCTCAACATGTGTCAATCCCATCTTTTATGGATTTCTCAACAAGAATTTTCAGAAAGATGTGGTTATTATGCTTCACAACCTTCGATGCTTTGAATCTCAAAAGTTATATGAGAACATTGCCCTTTCAACTCTGAACACTGATATGTCCAAGGGATCCCTGAAACTCAGCAGCATGCCTGAAAACATCTGAAGCAGACAACTTGCCAATCATTTCCATAACTTTCCATTGATCTATGTATCGTGTTGCTGAATTCCTCTTGTGGGCACGTGTGGTTTTGGGGTGATGAAATCAAAGGCCTAGTATTGTTGTGCTAGAAGCAGACACATCCTAACAGATCTTCCAAATAAATAAAGCAAAAATTAAGCAGAGCAGTTTTAACTCCATTGCAAGAGTATCCGTTGTTCAAGTGCTGAAAAACTGCTGTGCGAAAATTAGTATTCAGGAAAAAATGCACCAGGTTGCTGGGAAATGATACAGCATTCCTTGGGGTCCATGCCATGCCTCCCATGAGCCTCTTGGACAGCCTCAAACATTTTTTCCAGTGAACTAATAGTTTGAGAGTCCTTGGTGCTCTCTGAATTTCGTTGTTTTCTTGCAGATGTTTCATTACCCAGACTATGTAACATCATCAGTGCCAACACTTTAATGCCTATACAGTCATTATAAAGAAGAGGCTCACCATCATTATTAGACATTGTTAGGTTATGACTGAGATCAGTCTTTTGTTTTCAGTCATATTAGTTTCCAAATTTTGGTGTTTATTTTAGATGACAAGATTTAGAAAACAATGGGCTTGGGATGGCAGGTGCTGAAAGAGGAAGCAGCAGCACATACTGGCACCATAAATACCACCGGTATACTGTATATTGTTTGTGCCAGTTCCCATACTTGAAACTTAGTTTAACAATTGCACACTGCTGTCTTGGAGTTAACTGCTGAAGATAAATGTACCATTATATCTATACATAGAGATGGATCTTTGTAACTAGTATTCTGGTTTTTACTATGCATGCTTTTCACCTTCACTTCTGCTATGACATTTTTCTTTATGGATGCAAATTTACTTTTAATTTTCTAACTTTCTCCTAGTCTGGCGAGGCTTTCAGTTAAAACAAATTCCGGAACCTTCCAAGTTTGTTAGTTGGCACTGCAATGCTGAAATTTTGCCTGCAATGAATCCAAAGCTTTGCTAATTTAGCTGTTGATAAAAGACTGATTTTTAACCTAGAAGAGTGAATCTGTTTCCACCCTGCAGTTTGCCAGTTAAAATATTCTCATAGGGGAAAATGTTTTTCAGCACATATTCATAGCTCTGACATGACTTGAAATGTAAGAAATTCATACTGCGAACATTTATACTGGAGCGTGCTTTAAAAACTGCTGCCTCCAACCTGGTGATGTCTCAATGTGTGAATTAGAATTCATAGCCAGCACAATTCAAGGCCACTAAGAATTCTGGGAAGATATTTGGAGGATATGATTGAGGTGAAAGCCAGTTGGTCTAGTGATTAAGGCACCAGGTTGGAAACTAGGAGACCACAACTTCTAGTCCCACCTGAGGCTCAAAGCCAGAGGGGTGACATTGGACCAGTCAATATCTCTCAGCCCTAGGAAGCCAGCAAGGGCAAACCACATCTGAAATCTTGCCAAGAAAATTGCATGGAGTTGTCCAGGTAACCCGCAGGAGTCAATGCTGACTTGAAGAGACATACACACAAACCCACACACATGAATTGAATAGTCTGTTTTAGAATTATACATCTGTTCGATGCCAAACTACATAGAGAGGTGCATCCTTCCTTCCTTTCTTTTCTTTTCTTTTCTTTTCTTTTCTTTTCTTTTCTTTTCTTTTCTTTTCTTTTCTTTTTAGGTTAAACATTGTAGAGGAGAGAATTTGATCAGAGTAGCAGCTCTTCATGGTAGGAAAAGATCCACTGGCAGCTGCAAAGGGGATGATTCGTAGTAGGGGATAATCCCAAGGCCACCCACACTCTCCCTTTCCATACGTGCAAACTGGCTGGGATGATTTACACTGGCTAATGAAAAAAACACTCAGCTATGTTAGAGCACATTATCCTTCAGGATTGAAGTTTGGGAACCTCAGTGTTATTCTGAGCTTTATTTTGCAATAAACTTAAAAATATTTTTCGACAATATTTCAATATATTCATTGACCTGTGCTGTTACTTATCTGCTAATATGATTAACAAGGTTTTGTTTGTTCATGTGTTTTAGACTTTACAGAGTTCATTGCACAAATGCTTGTTATTTACAGTACATTAAAATAATGTTATCTTCAAATGACATATCTTTTGCTAAAGTTTCATACATTTTTACTTCTTCCACTTGAAATTAGGAATGGGAAAAATTCATGAGGAATGATAAGAACATTATATTTTGAACCCGGGGGGGGGGAGTGCAGAACGAATAATATACGCATTTGATATCCAAGTGAAATCAATATTGATATGAAAATCAGCCCTCTGTCTCATTCAATCTTATGATATTTATTAAGAAAATGTGACATCTTTCACTATAATGATGCAACAACCATTTTTGTGGCTATGAATATTAGCATGGAAAGTTCCCATTCTTTTTATGTATAGTCATACAACAGCATGAAATACCCATATCTAATTGTGGCTAAATATTTCTCTTTACAGTGACTGTTTTATTTATAAAGCATTGCAGGAGTTTTTATCAGTCTGGTTGTATAGCTTATTAAATTGTGTAATCTGTTATAATGCATGGAAATATATACCTTGAAATGCCATTCAGGTAAAAGCACATAAGAATTGCCAAGTATGTAGGCAGCTCAAACTTTTCATTAAATATGAAACACTAGAAACAATTTTTTTCCTAGAAATACAGCCTAAACCAACATTTCAGTAGAAGCCTGGAAATGTTAGAGGCCAAACATTTTATCCCTTTTGAGGATGTGGCAGGACTTAGGTTTATTTATTTTCAATTTGTGGATGCTAATTCTATACTGTAGCTGCTTAAGCGACTAGCCCTTAAGAAAAGGACGTGCATCAAAAATAATCATTTTGCTACCAAATAGTAGTGGAATAATCTAGGATCTCTGGATGTTCCTGCAAAATTTGATCTGGGGAACTATGTGAACAATAGAGAAGCTGGCCAAGTCTCTCTCAATCAGTGTATTTTTTTAAAAAAAAATCTAAAAATGTCTTAGTCTGATTTGTACAGGGAGCTAACCAAGGTGCCAAGAGGGAAAAAAAAAACTGAAATTAGTTTCCTAGGCACATATTTTCTTTACAGTGCAAACTTGTGCATGTTTACGCAAAAGTAAATACTGCTGTGTTCAGTGATCTGGGAATGAGCCACATGGCATGCAGACAAGTAGTCTGTGCTCAGTGCTTTTCTGGATGAAGCAGCAGCTTTGCCTCAAAGAAGCAGCTGCTGTACATTTATAGTATTTCAGTAATATCGGCCTTTCTGCTTTGGTGAACATTCAAAGTGGCTACAAAAAATTTAAATACAAACAGTATTAAAAACTTCAAAATGCTGAGTAAAATTAGCACAGAATAAATTGACAGCCTAATGAAAGAGAAGCACCATCAGTGGTAGGATTCAGCCACCACTTCGGCAGAACCAGTAGCTAATTTTTTGTTGCTCAGACCCAGAATGGGACTTCCAGAAACGGCATCTACACAGAGAACCAGTTGTTCACATATTTGAATCCCACCACTGAGCACTGTTACCTTTTGCCCCACAACGAGAGAAAGACTACAATGTGATTTTTTTCCAAGAATGGCTTCCTTCACCTGGGAGGAACATAGGATAAGGTGATATCACCATGCAAACCCTTTGAGAACAGGGGAATCTTTAAAGGGGATGCTCCCCCACAGGTAGCACCAGATGCAAGTTCAAGACACTTGGAGGGGAGCAGGGGGGTACACAGAGCAAGATTTGGAAATCAAGATGGTGGGTAATCATGCACAAAAGCCACTTTATATGAACAAAACAGCACAATGGAGTAGGGGTGCTTTGTGCTTGATGCTACATTTAAGACAAGTGGTCCTTTGAAACTCACCCCAACATATAGTGGGATTTGATTCCAATTAAACAAGAAAGTTGCATGGGATTTTGTATGGGGATTTGCTCTCCCCCCCCCTATATTTCCTGCCTGACTGCTAGTGGAGCTATTTCAAAAATAGCTTGTGATACATAGAATGGCAGTAACTGGGGAAGGGAGGGAGGGAGCAAATTAAAGAAAACAGTCCAGGGAGCTAGAAGCCTGGTCTCTACAGAAATACTTATCTGCGTGTTTCAAGAAAGTAGGAAAAAAAAGTGCACAAGAAAGGAGAAATTGACATCAAGCCTACTCAACCTTGAAATGGAAGCTTCATTGTTTGCCAGCTCAGAAATAGCTGAGGGCCTTTGTTTGAGAATGATTGGTAACTAGACATTGGGGAAAGATACATTTAAAGTTGGCTGACCTGGTCAGTGATGACCCCAAAGTGATTTTCCTTTCAGAGGATATACCCAATCTGTCTGGTGGATGCTAAAAGAAGGATTCTTGACAGATTTCAGGCTGCGGGATTTATTTGCTATGCTTGTGAGATATCATTTTAAAGCATTTAATTGTCTTGTTGAGATGTGGGGATGGAAGTATACATCAATTTGGTGTTGACAAGTCAATAAGCCATTACAAGAAAATTAAAGATTATTCCCTTTCCTCAGGCTACGTCAAATCTGAAGTCATTCTAGACCCTTCAAAATCCTTAATTTTCTCTTTTGTTATGCCAAACCTGTTCCAAATAAAACAGAGACCCTATATAGAGGAGTTGGCAGATTCTGCAGGTAAATTCAGCAATCAAGAAATCAACCCAATTTCTTCCAGGTGGTCCCATGGCACATGGATGAAGTACAGGAACTCCCCTCAGAGATTAGAAAGGCCCAAATCCTGTTGGCTTTTCATAAGGCTTTAAAAACCTGTCTGTGCTCCCGAACCTGGCATGGTAAATGTGCTAAGGGCCTTGTTTTCTGGCTTTACTATCAGCTGGCCAAGTCACACAGCGTTAGGTCAGTGATGGGATTCAAATATGTGAACAACCGGTTCTCTGTGTGGATGCCGCTTCCAGAAGTCCATTCTGGGCCTGGGCAACAAAAAATTAGCTACCGGTTCTACTGAAGTGGTGTGAACTGGCTGAATCCCACCACTGCGTTGGGCCACCTTTGATGCTGAAAAGGGCCCTTAGAAGCAGTTGGGTTGACTTCTGCTGTATATATTTATTTTGAATGTTTTTATTGTTTTTAAAATGTTTTTTTTATTATTTTGTTATATAGGTTTTGAATTATAAGCCACCCCAAGGCATTGATTGAGATGGGCAGCTATAGAAGTTTAATAAATAAAAAATAAAGCAGCAAGGTAAACAACTAAAGCCCACTTGAAGGCTTACATTGTAGTATAGTGAGATGTAAAGTAGCTAATTTTCTTGCACACAATGGATTCTCAACTCATGCTTTGCAAGGATGTGAGGAGACCTACTGTTCCTCCTATCTTCTTCTCCCTGAGTCCTATTACAAAGACGTTGAAAGGTTTGTTTAAACACTTTGAATAGTTTATAGATAAAATCTCTTTCAATTTAGATCAGGGGTAGTCAACCTTGGCTCTTTTATGACTCGTGGACTTCAATTCCCAGAATTCCACGAGTCATAAAAGAGCCAAGGTTGACTACCCCTGATTTAGATTGTCTAGATGCCATTTTTGACACAAAGCCAGATGCTTCTTATATAATTACAGTAGTCTGAATACATTTCCATTCCAGTACTCAACGACGTAGACAGGCTGCTTGGAGTCATATGTTCCACCACTTCTCTTCTGGATCCGTGTCCACCTTGGTCATTCTGCGCATTGTGTAATACAAATCTGCAACTTAAAGCAGCATCACCATGATTGTATTCCTGGAGTGATGCAGATATCTTCTATAGATGATTTTGGTTTAAAATGCTATAAATGAATCCTACATTCACCTTCCCAAGCTCTCCAATACAGTTTTTGCTTTCATATCCAAAGTGCTGCCTAAATCTAAATCATATCTTCTCTTTTTTTTTTTTTGCTTCAGTCAAAGGTATTTGTGAAGATAACTCAAATAAGCAGGGGATTGTAGTCCGAGATGAAGAACTAGATTTTGACAGGGAGAAGTGTGAATCAGGTATTGCACATCAGTCATGCAAGAATAGAAAGGCTCCAAAAAAGAGAAGCTACCTTCTGGTAGGTGATTCAATTATAAGGGATGTAAATTTAGGAAAGGACACAGAGGCTTTGAAAGAGGTCAGGTGTCTTCCAGGTGCTACTGCCAGTAGGGACAAGAAGCGTATTTCTAAAATAATCAAGAATGGCAGCAAGGACTGTGATGTGGAGGCTATTGTACACCTTGGCACTAATGATCTGTCCCAAAAAGATGTACTCTCTGTGCAGAATGATTTCCAGAGCTTGGGGAAGGAACTTAGCAGAATAGGCTGTAGGCTTACTTTCTCAGAGGTTTTACCAGTGTATAAGGAGCAAAACGGAAAAGGCCAGCGCATAGCACAATTCAATATGTGGCTAAAGGAGTGGTGTAAAGGGGAAGGCTTTGGATATATTAGTCACGATGTCAGTAGCTGGTCCAATCAAAAGATGTACAAAAGAGATGGTTTGCATCCATCAAAAAAAGGGACTGAGTTACTCGGCTATAAATTCACAGATTTTCTGGAGGGAAATTTAAACTAAACAGCGGGGACAGGGAGTTAATTGATACGGAACAACCCTGTCCCCGGCAATTTAAAAACTATAGGGCTATCAGTGCATGTAGCATAGATGTGTGTGTGGACAAGAATACCAACCTTGCTACCAATCAAAATGAAGCCTCTAATAGCGAGTGCCACATAAAGTGCACTAACCAAATAGGTGGTAAGACAATAGGGGAACTCAGGCACCACACAGGTTATGTAGAAAGGAAACACAGGGCCACCCACAAAGGACTCAAATGTTTATACACCAATGCACAGAGTATGAACAGCAAACAGGGTGAACTAGAAATTCAGGTTAATGAGGGCAGATACGATATTGTTGCCATTACGGAAACATGGTGGGATGAAACTCACACATGGAACACACAGCTAGAGGGATTTAAATTATTTAAAAGAAACAGACCAAATAAAAGAGGAGGTGGATTTGCTCTCTATATAAGAAATAACTACATTTCCACAGAAATAGAGCACAACAATGATAAAAACTGTCTTGAATGCATTTGGGTCAATATAAAAGGGGGGGGAAATGACATTGCCATAGGTGTATACT